CAGCGGGATATGCACTCGATTCTTGGGAGGTCTGGCGAATCGTGTGCCTTTCTCAGCTGTCCATCGAGGACGTGGAAGATTTGTGGACGTTCGGCCTGATGATCACTGGATTTCTTCTGATTGGAGTGGGAGGATATCTGGTTTTCTGGAAATTTGGGAAGACGGGAGCAATTGGAGTGCGACCCGCGCCCATGGAATGTGCCGTTCGTGCGGTGACCTCACAGACTGGGACGTTACTCGAGGTGAACCGTAAGCTGGACAATGTCCTCGCGGCGTTGCCTGTGTTAGTGCGCAAGATGGATGTCATCTCGGAGAGGGTCGCCGGACGATGTGGGGATGTTTAGAACGTATTATTGGCTCACTGGTGGACATGAATGACCACTTATAGACTCTAAGGCAGGGAGAAAAATTATCTCTGCCTGCCCCAAACAAAGTCATGTTTATCCTTATTCAAGGCAGACTCCAAGGCTGCCATCAACACACCCCCATGAAAGGAGGAATGCTGACAGATGCTGTGTCCCGACTTTCACCCTCTTCCTTCAGATTGAGACGTCTGCGGGAAACTCAGTGTGCTCTCAGTTCCTTATCTCTCCCTCCCACCTGTTGGTCTGCAGCTGGTCGATGCGCCGCAGTGGCAGCTCCCATTGGAGGCTTCAGGATCCCGCCCAACCCCGCCTCCCCATCGGACTCTGATGTTTGTATCTGTGCTGTTTGTGCTTATATGTTGAGGAGTTTTTTTTGTATAATAGAGTTACTCCCCGCTGGGTCTAACTCCGCTATGCCTTTTTTTTTACCTTACCCCCAATTATCCTCATGTAACACCCTTTTCATCTATCTATTAAGGTAGCGTGACTCATGTTGCGAACGACCGCAGTCACCAATTCTTGTCATGTGTCTTACCCATGTATGTCTGATCTTTGAATTGTGTGTACTGAAACTCAATTTCGTTTCTCTGTATGTCCTGCACATGTGGTAGAAATGACAATAAATGACTTTGACTTGAATCAGTGCAATGCCGCTCTCCGTGCTCTCTACTCAAAGAGTCTTCGGTACGCTGAAAGTATATAACTTATGTTTTATAGGTAGAAACAAGTTATTTTTTCCGTCTCTCTTTGGATGTGTAAGAGCTGCCCCATATTTTGATTCCTGCTCCTGGACGAAAAACCTGACATTTTCATCAACACAGGACCCCCCCCCCCCCCCCCCCCCCCCCCCCCCCAGACACCCCTGAAAGAGAGCAAAAATTGGACATGGATTAGGGTATGTGTTAGGCATAGTAGAGTCTCTAAAATATTTGGAAGTCAATGGAGGTCAACACATGAATATAAATAGAAGCGAGCTAGCATTGTGAGTTTGTACTACTTAGGTTTAGCCATCCTTACGCTGACAAAAAAGTAACTAAGGATCTTTTACTTTGAGTACATTTTATTTACGAAACTTTTTACCTTTACTTGAGCAAAAATGTTGGCAAATACTTTCGCTTGTACTTGAGTAAAAAATTATGAAAGTATTGGTACTTGTACTTGAGTAGGAAATTTTAGTGCTCTTCCATCTCTGCCCTTTTGGCAAATCTGTCCAGTTTATCTAAGCTGCTTTGATTCACCACATAGATATCCATGCCACGATTCTTTTACAAGGCACTCAATGTGCACTCCACCTCTCTAAGTGGCATTGTGCTTTACAATGTTGGTCCCCAGGAACAAAACACCCACCTCCAATAGCAGTCAGACAAAAATTTCTCACAGCATCAGTCACTGTGGCACCCAAGAGAAAAATAATGGTGTAGTGTTTGAAGAAGAGAGCCGACAATGGGAGGAAACTCCTTGCTAGAACTGTCTATAGCAAGTTTGTCTTTCGGTTTCCAAAGCAGAAAAGGAACATTGTGCTTTGAAGAACCGCTGAGGTTTTAGTTCAAACCTGTTGCTTTAAATCACGATACATTTCAAGTGTAGAAATAAAACATCAATAAATGTAAAACCTGTTAGGAAAGTTACAAATCTGCACTCTGTAGAGACCGTTTCACGTCAGATAAAACAAATCCTCCTGATGCTGTGAAAAATCTGAGGTCAGAGGACTAAGTGTCACCTGGCTAAAGATATGTCAGTATTTCGGCAGAACGCCTGAGCTCAGCCACCAAATCTGAACTTCCCATACGTTCTGAGCCACAGAGGAATGCAGGCATGTCCAGCTTTCAGCCAGGATGGGAACAAAGTGGGGAAGTCACACCCTTTCTGATGCAAGGTCCTAATGTTTCTGAATGTCATCATTCAAAAAGTAGAGTAGTTAAGATCAGAGAGCGAGACAGAGGAAGAAGCAGCAAACAAAGGAACAAATCACAGAGAAAAGTAAGGCAGTCAGAGTCAGAAAGAGTGAATACGAGGTGGTCACTGACACTTTTAGTGGGTCACTAACACAAAAGACGTTGCCTACCAGGAATCCAGTGGAGCATGACACCACGAGGGTTGGGGGTGGTAACAGGAGAGACCTGAAGCCCCCACGCAGGCTGTTCGCTATCCAACCTGCTAACGTCCTCAAAGGCAGCAGAACCACAAAAGCTGCAGGTTGCTCAGACATGCCCAGCTGCCAGGATGCCAACAAAAGGAGCCTGGTGACACCTCACCCGCCACCCCTCCTCCTGTAGATCTGTTTGATTTATCTTGTGATGTGTGCTAACTGTAATTAATTTTCATGTGAGATGGAAATGAATTTATTCTCATAAGATGGATATGAGAGAGACTGAGATCAATCCTTATGAGCATATGTAGCTGAATCTCTGTTGGATCAAATGTTTTCCCTAGCCAAAGCACAGAAAAAACAAGTCGGTTTGTTGTTTTTACCCACAACAGAACTCTGAAAAATACATCATCATAAATGTTGTCAATGAAAGAGTGGCAAAATGACAACTCAAACTAATCCAATTATGATTAAATTTACTGTCCAACAACTTTTTTATTGAAAAAACATCGAAAGTAGCCAACAGATGAACAATTTTTCACAGATTCCCACAGAAATTATCAGAAAAACTTGATTTATGTCTTCATTGGGGATTAATGCCTTCACAGCAAACACGCCCATGTGGGCAGGGCAAACCCACACTTATCCCAGAGTTCACCCACAAGGATCTTGTGTATGGTTGCATGAATGGCTGCATGGTGGCACAGTTGTTAACACTGTTGCCTCGCAGCACGAAGGTTGCAGGTTCGAAACCCGGCTGTGGCCTTTCTGCGTGGAGCTTTGTGTTCTCCCCATGCATGCGTGGGTTTCCTCCGGGTACTCCGGTTTCCCCCACAGATCACAACATGCTCTATAGGTTATAAATTGTAAGTCGCTTTGGATAAAAGCGTCTGCTAAATAAATAAACATAAACATATATATAAACATAAATGGAGCCCATATATGTTTTCCCACATGGACCACTTTTAGATTTAAATGTGCCCAAATCCATCCCATGCTGAGTATTTGGGAGCTGCCCTGGATGTTTCTGCTTGTGAATTAACTTGGATTATTTCTGTGGGCACCCCACAGTGGGATCTGCCCATAAACTACCCACAATGGCCCCATTAATGTCAGCTCATGTGGGGAATCCCAGGGTCTGCCCACTTCTATCCCTCTATGTGATTTCTGTGAGCACCCACAGTGGAATCTACCCACAGTGTGAGTGATTTTTAGAGTTAAATTGGATGGAGTGCTGGATTCTTCTTATGAGCTGACACCTAAAGGGCTACTGTGGGTATTTTTTGAATACATAACACTAGACACTATGGAGTGCCCACAAAATCCCCATGAGGCATTAAACTTGCCAAACTGCTGAATTCCCCATGTTGGCTCAAACACATAGGGCCACTGTGGGTAGTTTTTGGGCATGTACTACTGTGGGTTAACACATTCAACGCATAAGTGCAAACATCCACTAGGCTGGCACCTAACTGGCCAATCAGTAGATTATCATCACCTGCACTGTGTGAATGTGTAAGTGCATTAATAATGAAAAGCACTTCGGGTGTCTTGAAAAGTGCCATCGTAATCTAATCATTATTATTTTTATTTTTATCAAACCTACACATGCAAGGGTACTGCTGTGAAATGCAGGCCATATGAGGGTCTCATGGAGAGGGGCCACATTGGGCAGTCCACATATGCAGGTCAAGCTCCGTTGGGCCCTTACATGGCCCCAAATGATGGGGCCCACGTGTACCCTACATTTCACAATGGCTGTGGGTCCCAGTGTGGGCAACCCTTCATGGGCCACATTTTTACCCAGAGAGATCCCACTTGGGTGCTCAAACAAGCATGTTTGCTGGGTTTATCCAACAGGATGTAAACACACACCTACTTTATAGACTATGCATTTGCATGAATAAAGACCAAACGTCAAAAGAAAAAAAATGATAATGGAGTTAAGAGATAATGGGGTTCATAGACCAATCATAATGTTATGCCAACAAAGACAAAAAAAACTCTCTAAGTCCCAGCAGATTAAATATTGTAAATAAGGGTTTCAAAACACTCACAAAGTAAGAGAACAGCAGAGTATTCAAACCCACCACTGCCCACTTAAGATGAGTTGTAGGTCATATATCAAAGAAATTAATACAAGATCAAAAACCCATTGATGTGGGTAAAAACTTACATTCACCTGGATTCAGTACCATTGTCTGTCCTACCATAATTGCACTGAACACTTGAAAGTGATATTTATGAACAGATTTGTTCATTCGAGCAATGAAATGACTGCTCATAACCATTTGTACCCTTCCCTTTCTGTCACAAATTGCAAGTAGAAGCTAAATGCTGTTTTAGCTACAGAACAGTCAGTCAAAATATCAGCTTCCTGTGTGCTGAAACATCAAAAACACCATTTGTGGAATGTGTACAATAACATGTATGTTAAAGCTGTTAAATACCAAAAAGTCTGAATCAATAATCAATCAGTTATAACCCTAAAATATATAAAATAATCTGCTTTTAATAAATAATGAAGAACATTTTAGCACTCATACCTTAATCCTCAGGTAGTCATCACAGCTGCGGGACGTGGCCCTGGAATGCATTTTGCCCAGCGACAACATTCAGGCACCAGAAGAAATCCAGAAACTTTAATCACGTCATCAACTTGGAGAGGCAGATGTGATCATCAAAAGTTTAAGCACAGCGAGTCATGATGTCAACAGCTCCAGAAGCATTTTGCTGTGCTGTCTGACAGTGACTTTGTGTGTGTGTGTGTGTGTGTGTGTGTGTGTGTGTTTGTATGTGTGTGCTGTGGAGTTGGCAGCGAGAGCAGACTAAAATCCAGAGCGTGAGAGGGGCAGATTGCTGGATTCCTTGTCGCTCACCCTCCCTTTCTCCTAGAGAACTCCCCCACCCTGCTGCCACTCTGCTACTGAAGCCTCTTCAAGCTGAATAAATGTGCACTGCTGCTCACTATTCAGTAAAAAAACTCACAGAGAGTGAGACAGAGAGAGACCTGCTCACCGAGTAAAGTGTGCATCAGACTCGGAACTCCTCCCTTAACCTTTTGCACCCCTACCTCCACCAGCAGCTCCACTCTCTTGCCTCAATGCTCTCTCTTTGTCTTCACAACACAAATGGACCAGGGTTTCAGCTTATTCTGCTGCGTCAAAAAATAAATAAATATAAAGGAAGACATCAGCATTAGACTGGAGGCTTAACCCACTCACTAAAATGGCATTCCCTTGAAATAATGTCAGGGTGGAACGCCCAAATCCATTTCCTCCTATATGCTACTGTGACATGTGAGAAATCCTACTGTTACTGGAGATAAGTGAGATCTTTCAAGAAAACAAATAGCTTTAACTTTCAGAAAACATTCCTTTCAGGATGCATTAAAAATAAATCTTAACTGACAAAAAACTGAGCTGAGATAAGGACTGATAGCAATGGACACGGTGTCTCCATTACACTTCTTAAACACAGGAAATCCCTGTTAGGGAAAGCAGGAAGAATGCCTGCTGTGTGTGTGTGGGTGTGTGAAAATCATATTAGGTCAGTCTGTTTAAACAGCGGCAGTAGTGAGGATGGGTTGTTCGGTTGGTTAAAAAAAAAGTCATTTAAGTTCAACATCAAAACAACTCTGAAAAAGGGAGGCGCTCGTTAGTAAGAACGGAGTAGGATGCCTTCCCTGTGGCTCCGCTCCTCCCCCACTTTTAAACCACACATATTGTTTTGGCACCAGGGAGTTTTCTGCTATTAATGCTCATTTTTGTCTGCTGTAAGTTCTCGCTGTCATGCCACCCAAGGACATACCACAAAACCAGAAATCGGCTGCAAATGGTAGTTCATTGAGTGATGCACTCTAAGAAATAAAACGTTGGATTTAATTGACAAAGTTAAGGCAATCTTTTCCACAAAACTTGGTCAATTAAACATAAATCAATATGGTTGTTATCTGCAGTTTCAATGGTGATGTATACCAGAAGTGAAATTGTTATATAAAAGCAACAGTTTTCCTTTCATTGTCACTATTTAACACCATTAATTCAAATTTAAACACTTTGTTCACTTTATTAACTTTATTGCTTTAGGTTCAATTGACAATATTAATTTTAATTTAATGGCACCATTTACATTGTGTTTTGGACCTAATTAATTTGATTATGATTTAATGAATAGTTTAATCTATATGCTAAATGTTTAGGTATCATCAAAACAAGTCTAGAAAAATTCCTGAGTTGTCATCTATACATTGCAATTAGGTGTTTGGAACTTCAGAGGTCTTCAGCAAAAGGTCCAAAACTTAACTACAGTACAGGTGACAACTGGAGAACCATTTTACACTTGCTCACATGTTACCATTTATAACATTCAAGATCCTTGCCCTACAACAGAAAACTCTTTTACACCAAAGCTTACATAAAGTGTCAATGCAAAAAGAAAAAAAAAGGGTGCTGCACCAACAACTTTATTAACGATAAGCCTTAACAAGACAAAACTTCTACAGGGAACAACACCGCATAAGGCAATATTAAATGGAACAACATTGGAAACAACTTTCAAGTTTTAACAAAGTGACATTGTAGTGTGCCGTAGGATGCCGAATTCAATACAACAACATTTGATTATAGTCAGATCTGCAGATCTATCACAGCAACTTAAAAAATAATAATCCACTGTATATTGCAATTACATAAAATACTTAAATGACACAAAAAGGTTAATCTGGACGATTTAGTCCCCAGTTCCAAAAATCAGATTCAGAACTATAACTTTGGTATTTCTAATAAACAAACAAAAAAATGCATGTAGCAAATCTCACAACATTCTTAATTAAATACTAGGACCAAAAATCCAGCACTTAATTTGAGTACAGGTGACAACCTTTCACATTTGTTTGCACATACACTTTAACATTTATAACACTCAATATCCTTGACCTGCAATGGAAACTTGGTACTCCAGAGCTAAAACTAAGTATAAATACAAGAGAAAAAAATTTTGTTGCTTTAACAACTTGAACAAAAGCTTTCAATGAGCCAAAGCTTAAACATGGAAAAAACACTGCATAATGCAACATTAAATGAAGTGCGTAAAACAAAATGTAAACATTTGAAACAACTTTCCAGTTTCAACCAAGTGACAGTGCAGTGTAGTACAGTTGTAGGTCAGCAATGGCTACCGTCTGCAGAATTACCACAGTAACTCAAACTGCAGAAATGTTAAAGTGAAACAAAAAAATAATAATAAATCAATCTGGGTAATTTTGTCCCCAGTTAAAAAAACTCAGTTTCTGAATTGTGTTTTCTTTTCCACAATCAAAAGAAAAATGGCATTCAGTGAATCTCTTAAACATTAAAAGTGCTGAAAAAATATTTACAAACAAGGATCAACAGTAAAATTTTTACTCTGCAAGAAAACCGAGCACTTATTTTGGGGGACATTTTTATCTAGAAGAGTCATTGCGTCTCCTTTTGGCAGAGTTTGTTCTTCAGCACTTGTATTTTGTTAGACAGTTTTTTGTCTTCCAGGCCCATGAGCACCTTCTGGAAGAACTCAAATGTGTAGTGAAGTGGCTTTGGGTAACTCAGATTGAGGCAGTAAATTAGCCCAAACAAAAGCGCACACCCGCTCGCCACATCGCGAAAATCCTGCAAGACGGTGCATCTCTCGATAATGATGCCAACATCTTCAAGGGAGACATCAGGCTGTGCTCCTTCGTGGATTATTTTATAAACACCCAAATCCATCCTCTCGAGCTCATCAGCTTCCATCACGTTGCAATCCTGAAAAGGACAGAAATATATTAAATCCGTTGTATTTTGGTCATCGCATCATCTATCTATTCACTCCATTTTAGTTAAAATGGTACACACTACCCTAATTACACATATCCCTGAATGAGACTGAGAAGAACAGACCAAAGAAAAATGTGGATTTAAGACCATCATCAAATAAAGACCAAGAAGAAGATACATGAAACAAAACAAAAACCTAGCAGTCTAGCAGTGTTGCTGGGTCTCGACTGACTCGAGCCACTGCTAGAGGTGACTGTGAACTGACATTCAGGCGGACTACCTTTTCACAGACTGCTCTGTCATACCAGGGAGTGACCTTCTGGAATAGTCTTCCACTATCTGTGAGGGAAAGTACCAGTCTATACATCTTTAAGAGTTGCTTAAAAGGGTGGCTGAGGGACACACAAACATGTGATCATGTCTAATACTTATATTTTTTATTTGTCTGGGAAAAGAGTTGGTACATTATTAAAAGGGAAACAACTGCTAGTGTAATGGGTGAATGTAATCTCACGACAGTCAGGACATATGCAGTGTCAGGGTTTGTGCAATATAATTGATGTGTTTCCGTTATTGTTATCTATGCTGTCCTTTGTGTCCACTTTCCTTGACATTTGTTTGTGTTAGTATAATGGGATGACTGCTTTTGTCTCTGTCACATGACTTGTAAATACTATCTCTGTATGTTTCCACTACTTTGTGTCTAACATCAACCTGCCGGAGGGTCTGCAAATGGAAATTAGCCCAAGGCTATAATCTGGCATATTTACATTTATTGAAATGTTCATTAATATGTATTGCCCCTCTTCCTAAATAATAAATAAATAAATAAAATGAAACATGGAGAGAGGGCAGAAGGAGTATGCATCAATAATATTATCAATATTCTGCTGACCAGGGTTATTTTCTTTAGTTTCGCATAAAACAATGTAAGTGAATGGAAAGAAAATCCTAGTAGTTCCCATGCACTTTATTGTTGTAAGCCAGTGGTTCCCAAACTTATTTAGCCGCGCACCCCCTTCTATGTCCCGACCACGTCGACGCACCCACCAGCCCCCACATCAGGGCAGTGAATAGAAAATGTAGCCCCTCGAGTAAATTGTCAATTGCTGATGTTGGTACATGTGAAAAGACCTCCAACTTTGACAAAACCAAGGCAAGGTTTTTAACTACAGCTTCCTCCAAATTTTCACCAACTACACCAGCTTCACAATCCAAGTCAGGGGGCCCTTCATCTGCAGACTCCTCAGAAAGATCATTATTACTTGTAAATTCAGTTCTTTTCACTATTTCATTTTTGAAATCTCTGAGCGTGCATGAAGAATGTTTTCTACTCTTGTGTGTCTGGAAAGTACCATACACATTAGTTTTGAAAGAACAATTTTGATAAACACAATCTACATTCTCCAACCTCTTGAGATGTTTATTAATATGGAGGAAGTATTCTCTGCTTGTTGGTATGTGGCTTTCAGGACAAGAAGGACAAGTCAAAATAACACGTTCTACAGTGTGAGAGGGCTTAGCACCATGTGCACGACTTAGATGAGTCCTAAGACCACCCCATGTTTTGAAAGTACAAGGACAATGACTGTAAATGCACGGATTTTGTGAATATTTGTTTATTTCTGTGTAAGTTTGTCATGTGATAGTAAACCAATGATTAACAGACTTATTTCCAATTTGTTTGTTAGGACACAATCTCTGGAGACACCTTGATATGGAGGTTGAGGAGAGCAGGATGACCTCTAATACTACAGCCAATTCCATAATTGAAGTCCAACGCTAGCTGGCTGAAAGAAACACACCGAGAACACAAGACCCATTACAATATTGGAAAAATAACCAGAATTTATGTCCACACCTTTATCAACTCACACTTTAGTTCTTCTGCACACCATCTTCATCTGTACCCTGTGAAAGAGTGTTTTCTAAGGCAGGGGAACTGGTGTCTAAGAGGAGAAATCGCCTGGGAGCAAACACACTGCAGAAACTTTTGTTCCTCAATAAAAATGCATAAATGAATCCATATTTAGTCTTTTATTTTGTATGATCTAACACAGAGGTTAACACATTTACATAAGTAAAAACTTTTACTTCTGATTTTTATTACACATTCAGAAGATTTAACATGCCAGCTCATTGTAGCATTTACATAAAGGTTTTAAGCAAATGTTAAACTCCTTTCATAAACAACTTAACTTAACAAATTTAGTAAATTAAATTCATAATGATATTTTGA